CTCCTGTCCCTCCTCTCTCTTCTGTATTTTCTCTTCTGCTAACACTATCTAATCACTTAAAGCTAAGTGATTAGCTAAGAAAGCTAATCACTTTCTCTAACACTATCTCCTCTGTCCACCTCTCTTGCTGGCATTTTTTCTGTTATCATCTTCTAAACCACGTACTCTTCCAGTGCTTTTTAAAGTCCATCACCCTCCCCCCCAACCTGCAGGGGGACTCTCTCCCACCTGCATGCTGAGCCAGATGAAGAGAAGGACGATGGCAGGCTTCTGGATCAGTGCTCCTTTCCAAAGCTCCATCTTCCCTCTCTCCTTGCTACCTGTGCTCAAAGCTCCTTGTGCTTAAAGCACAAGACAGACCAGGAGGAAGGACAATGCTGTTCTGGATGGTGGATGGCCGGTGGGCCCACCCTTCAGTACATAATGCCCACAGAGTGTGATAACTTGGTCTCGGCACAGTTTCTGTGACGGGTGAAGAGACTGAGATGCCCTGACTCCCTTCTCCACCCACAGGCATCATGTTAGGAAGCCACCCAGCAGTTACAGTGACAGGCAGTCTGGCCATTGAGCCATATCACATACAACTTCATTTACCAGGGGACATGTCACCTCATTTCCAAAATAACAGTGAGTGGGGAAAAGGTCTGTGTAATTTTATAGCATCTCTGGAAGCAAAATTAAATGGAAAACTGAACTTATTATGTATAAAATCTATTTGTCTGAAAATCAAATTAGTGAGGCAAAGGTGATCTTTTTCCCTCAAAACATTGGGGAATATGTGACATTTTCTATTTCCATCCTCGAAGCCGAGAAATGTATCATATTGGAGTCGAGAAACCTCATGGTTTGCAGGAAAAGCCTCGTGAAATCTGATACTACCAACAATCTAATGACTAAATCCATTATAGAAATAAATTACTTAGCACCTGGACTTGTCCAGACCTCAACATGTACCTGTACTGTTACCAAAAACAGCGTGCACAAGTTCCAAGAAGAGGAAAGACTGTTAAAAACTATACAGGCTGTGTGCATTGAACAACCTGTGTTTGCACAGACTCTGTTTATCTGTACATCTGATAGCAAGGCCCACAGACAAGACACAGGTTTTGTGGCATGTGACCCAAATCACTGCCAACTGTCTCTTGAGTGCTTCTTCCCACTTTAATTTCAACAAGAGCATATTTCGAAGTATCTGCAGGATATGGCTATAAACCAGTGTCAGTGCTGATTTATTGCAAAAGCCATTTCGTCCAAAATGACCTGGAAGATGTATAGTGTTATTATTTTATGTATCCATAATTCAGATTCTACTTAATAATATAAATATTTTAAATCACTTACAATCTAACATATGGCTTAAAAATTTTTTAACATCTTGCTTAAAAATACATCAGAATTTCCAGGTTTGCATATTTTCCCTGCCAAAGACAATTAAATTTAATTCTGAGCTCCCTGATAGCCAATGCAAAAAGGGAAACATGATAAATTATGATAGTTTCATTATGTTGCTTTAAACAAAAAACTCCTAGATCTTTCAAAAAACCTTTTCCATGTGCTAAGTTAAAAAATAAAAAATTACAGGTCTTTATTGAGAGAAACTCCCTGAGCATTGTAAGAAGCCCAGAAGATGCAGAATCATTTTTGATATGGCTGTAGCTGATGCCAACCATTAATAAAATCCAAGGGCATGACATTGCTATGTATCATCATAGCAATTATTACCACTGACAGGGACAGTAGGATAAAATTCCAGCCACCCTAGTGTCACTAACTCTGTCCAATTTTAATGCGATGCCAAAAAAGTTTCTAGGCCATGACATTTTCTTCAAATTCAACTACTAGGAACAGCTCAAGTAATGAGACAAGGGGAGAACCAAATAATGACTGTCTGAATTGTGTCCCCATTTTCCTTAGGTGTAGAGGAAAGAGTAGCCCAGTTATCCAGAGAGATATCCAATCTGCACAAATTACATAAAGTGAAAATGATATACTTACGTCACCCTCCAAGCTGAGCTTGCACAGAATCTCATGAACAGTAGACATTTTGAAAGAAGCTGGAAAAAAGTACAAAAAGTCTTTAGAAGAGGCTTTCCTTCCCTTCATGCACAGTGATTCATTATACTAATTTCTGCTTCTTGGACCATTTCATCTGAGGATATTAGAGTAATTTTTGCAAATACTCTAATATCTTTTGCAATTCTTATCTTATGCTTGAGAAACCGAAAGCTGGGAGATGGTTTCCCCTAGGTGGGGATGGACTACTAAACTAGCCAGTCTTTCACGTGCTGTTTAAAAAGAACCGGGGGAGGGTGATTTGTGAATGCAAAAAAAAAACCAAAATGTTCCCCACGACTCATACAACTTGTTCAAGCAGGATAAAACCGAGCCGTCCACTTCTCATGAAGTGTTAATAAGCTCATCGAACTAGCCACTGTTTCTGAATTTCTCACAAGTAATTGAACATATGGAGAAAGACCTGAAAACTACAGGTGTGAACAGAAATCAGGAGCATTTGCACTTCGGCCTGTTGCTAATTGGAAACCTTTGTTACTAGCCATAATTATTTTCTCAGTCCAGGGATGCTTGGAAGATACTAAACTGTTTACGAGAAAGACAATGGCCAGATTCTCTGACCTTAACTCATTCCATAAAGGACTGAATCCCTTGTGTTTATGATTCAAAATGGCTGAAATGAAGTCATCTTCCAGTTAATATGTTTAATGGGGCAGGAAGACAATGGCCTGATAGATTGGCTTTCCAGCTCTGCAACCTCACAGTTCTCGGAATTGACACACAACCTCTGCCAACAAGGAGTGCTCAGCTGGCAGCAAATGTATCTCCACTGACAGAAGACGGGTTGTTCAGCATAATCACCCCAAAATGAAACAAAGTAGAGCAGAAATACGAAGGGCATTCCAACCACAGCATCTTCTGCTTTGGTCTCTTTTTGCTTCTTATGCTTTGATCAAAAAACACGGTACACATGCAAATCCAGCTTTCAGTTCCACTCGGTTTGTTCGGTTTAAATATTTTCATAAAACCGATTAGGAGAGAGTATTTGAGATAGACATTTGCCAACTTATAGGAACATTTTCGACTAAGCACATTCTAGGCCCAGTGCGCTGTAGGCGGCAGGGGGATGTAGAAGGAGGCGATTCGCCTTTATGTACAGTTAGGGATGTATTTCTGCAAGATTTTCATCCTGAGCCTCCACCCCTCTCTTCCTGGTGCTCACGGGAGCTTGCTAGGCACGGCAGAAAGTCAGTCAGTCAAAGATATTCCAATTAGCCCCACTCCCACAACTCTCAAACTGGCGCCCCTTCCCAATACGTCCCATCCATGTGTATAATTCTGATTTGTCAAAAGCCTTGCACTATAAATAAACTGTGGCACATCTAGATGATGGAATATATTATTCAGCATGGGAAAGAAATGAGCTTATCAACTCACAAAAAGATGCGGAGGAACCTTACATGCATACCGTGAAAGACGCCAATCTGAGAAGGCTACATACTGCATGGTTCCAATAGATGACATTTTGAAAAAGGCAAAACTATAGAGACAGTAAAAAGGTCAGTGGTTGCCAGGGGGGAGGAGGAGGAAGAGATGAATATGGACCACAGATTGTTACGGCCGTAAAATTTCTCTGTATGATAATGTAACGATAGACACATGTCATTGTATGTTTGTCGAAAGCCACATACAACACTAAAAGTGAGTGCTGATGTCAACCACAAACTCTCAGAGATAATGAATTGCCAGTGTAGATTCATTGATTATAACAAATATGTGTGTGTCAGTCTGGTGCAGGGTGTCAAGGGGGGGAGGCTGTGTGCGTGAGGAGGTGGGGGCGTACAGGAGCTCTCTGTACTTCCCCCTCAATTTTGCTGTGAACCTAAAACTGCCCTAAAAAACTGAAGGTTATTAAAGCAAAGTTTTGCTCTATAGCTAAACTACCCAATACAGCGGCCACCAGCCTCCTGTGGCCATCAAGCATTGGAACTGCAGCCAGTTCAAACTGGAATGTGCTGTAGTGTGCAAGGACACACTGAATTTTGAAGACGTACTATGGGAAAAAAGGGACATAAAACCTCTAATTAATAACTTTTACACTGGTTGGTGCAGTGGCTCGACCCTGTGATCTCAGCACTTTGGAAGGCCAAAGCAGGAGGAAGGCTTGAACCCAGGAGTTCAAGAACAGCCTAGGCAAGAGAGGGAGATCTCATCTCTACAAAAAAATTAGGTGGTGTGTTGTTGTGCACCTGTAGTCCTGCCTACTCAGGAGGCTAAAACAGGAGGAACCCTTGGGCCCAGGAATCTGAGGTTGCAGTGAGCTGTGCTCACGCCACTGCACTCCAGCCTGGGCAACAGAGATTTTAATCATATTTAATATTATATATGTATAAATATTTTCATATTAGTTATATGTTGCAAATATGATAACTTGGGTAGATTGGGTTAAAATTACAGTATTTCAAGTTCACATTTCTTTTCCTTTTTTTAATGTGGCTGTTTAATACACAGATAACTCACATTCTACTGCTACTGGGCAGGGCTGGTCTAGATATCATATAGAGCCAGCATCCAATCTTTTTTTTTTTTTTTTTTTTTGAGACAGAGCCTCAAGCTGTCCCCCTGGGTAGAGTGCCGTGGCATTACAGCTCAC